CCAGCAGGACAAAGGTGACGCAGAACCCCTCAAGGCAGTTGGCTAAAGGCAGCCAGCTGAAGCACCAACCTCCCAAAGAGAGCTCAAGGCTCTGAGACGCCCAGGGAAATGGCACCAAGTGCCCACAACTCGAACAAAAACCAGCAAGCTGCTTCCACGGCTTCAATAAGAAGAGAAACAAAATCAATGCCAGAGGACCACCTGGACCTCACAGCACTCATAGAAAGGGCAGAGGTTGCCCTCCCCCAGAAAGAAAGTGAAATGTGATGAGCTCCTTGAAGTTTGTGATGCTGCTTAGACTAAAACCACTCGTTTTTATACATGCAGACACATGAGGGGCCTTCAATAAGTACATGGAAAGATTTCCTCCTCTCTCAATTCTATTTCCCCATGCACTGTTTGAAGCTCCCTGCTGTGTAGATGTGCAAACACACATACAGCTGGGGCTCTGTGTGTTCCTGTTTAGAGAGAGAGAGCACCCTGCTTGGGCCAAAGTTAACCAATCATCTGCTGACTGAAACGTTGGTGGTTCAACCAACTAGCTGCTCTGCAGGGAAAGACAGCTGGCAGTCTGCCCCCATAACCTGACAGCCTATAACATCAAAATACACCACACTGCCTTCACCTTTTTATACATCGAAAGCATCATGAATCTGTCGTGTATCTGAGTCAGGGTCTCACATGGAAATCTTATAGGCAGGGATACCATTGCCTACAGCCCTTTCCTTCTGACCCCATGCCCCAGTGAATAGGGAGGCATGCTCTGGTTGGCAACCGGGCTGTCCTCTGCTGGTCCCCCACACTGAGAAGCTGGGACCCTCTGCTGCAGAGTGGGGGCATTCTTAGTCACCAACACCTAGGTGGCTGCATATTTAAAGGGCTATTTATTCTATTCCATGTTAACTACTTACACATTTTCTAAATGCCATAATATTTTTGAAGGATACTGATAAAAGCAACCCTCTTCTTTTGTTAGTATTAAGAACGATAATTCCTCATAGTTTAGGGCTTGCAGGAGGGATCTCGGCTGACATAGCCACCAAGTGGGTTTGAGTTATGCTTTCTTTCACTTCTACATTGCTGAAGAAAATCATTTCCACAACACAAAAATTAGATATGGTTCTATGTACAGTACTTTTCAGATTACAAGTGGCAGAGTCTGGTTTCTTTAAAACAGTATGTAGCCATTCAAGAAAATGCAGAGGAGGAGAACATACAAAAACACTTCGTCTTACTCTTAGACTTCCCCTCTTCATAACTTGAGGCATGTCATCATTTTTTCCTTTTTTTAAAATTTGCAAGAGGACCAGGATCGGAGGGTTAAGCTGTCATCCTGGTAGGGCTATGCGGGAATCAAGGGAACTTACAGAAAGGTCTCTAAGGTGTAAGGAGCCTCCGTGGCCCAGCGCGGCTCACTGCAAGCACAGCGGGTGGGAAACCACCGGCTGCTCCGCGGGATAAAGGCGGGCTGTCTACTCCCTGAAAGAGTTGCCGTCTCGGAAGCCCATGGGGTCAGTTCTACCCTTTCCTTTAGGGTCACTATGGGCCAGAGTCAACTCCATGGGAGTGAGTTTTGAGTGCCTGCTTTTAGGGGGTTCCCTTCCTACCCCTACCCCATTGAAGTGATGCCCCTGTGTGTGCCCCCCAGTCACGGTTGGCATCCTTTTCCAGGCGCGCCGAGGAAAGAGGTGTACTTCATGGCGATCATTGACATCCTCACTCACTATGATGCGAAGAAGAAAGCTGCCCACGCCGCAAAAACGGTGAAGCACGGCGTAAGTCCTCCTTCAGCCCGTTTCCCCGCTGCTGCCTGCAGTGCCCGGACCACCCACGCCGTGTCCAGTACCTTAGCAATCCAAGTCAGCAGCTCCCTGTGACCCGGGTCAGTCGCTGGCACCCAGCCTCAGCTCCTCTGTGTCCACGCCGGGTGATCGGTAGACGCAGGCGTCCCTAGAATACGACGGACCTCGTTTTTCTGTGGGAAGAAAAGTTTTAAAGATCAACATGGTGACGCGAGTTAAATGTCTTAAATACTAAATGTTCAGGGTGAAAGCAGGATTGCCTGATTAAGAGACTTCCAAAATGAGCAGTAGTCTCTTGTTCTTTCCTCGTGGAGAAAATCGGCTACATGCTTTTTTGCAGGAGGATCAGAGTTTAATAATGCCCATTCTTCACCTTTCTCCCGTTTGCTCTTGGTGATTACTGTTCTGGAAGCCCCTGGGGAGGGGTGGGACACACACACACCCCTACGCACTAATGACAAGGTTGGTGGTTCGAAGCTACCCAGAGAGGCTTTGACAGACTGGCCTGGTGATCTCTCTCTGAGAAGCGCCCCCTTAGGGACCCTCCGTTGTACTCGCCACATCTCAGCGCCTTCCCTGAGCCTGCTAGGCCACAGTACCTGTTGTTGCCAGGCCCACAGTCACTTGTCGAGTTCCCCCAACAAGCCTGTGAGGGAGACCCTAGGGTTTCGGCCCATGAAGTGGGTGCAGAAACTGGAGGAACCGCGCTTGAAAGAGAACGTGTCAGGGTCCCTAGCCAGTGAGTGGTAGCCTCCTTTCCCAGCCAGGCCCCAGCCTGGCTGCCTGCTCTGTGTCCCCACTGCCCCGCTCTGCCAGGGGCCCACACTTGCCTGCTCTGGCTTCCCGAGAGCCCAGCCCACACCGGTGAGCCCTGCTCTGTTGTGGTGAAAACACTGGGCAAGAGTTGCTTCTCCAGCAGAGAGAACCCCGAATGAGCAGCCCCTATCGAACACTCTTGGCTTTATCTTTAAAAACAAACAGCCTGTCACCCTCGAAATGGAGCCAGCCGAAGGTCCTGTAGTCCAATCACCAAAGTCCTTTTTCAGCCGCAGTGTCCACAACCATGTCCAGACCTCACCCAGCCCACATGTAGGAGTAGCTGGGCGGTAGCTCTCCCCCAGAAGTTGGCAGGAGAATCTATGAACTGTTTGTAAAACGTGGGCATCCCAGATGAAGCCCCCCCTTGCCCAGTTTCTGAATCCAGGCCAAGACGCCAGAGATGAGGTCTTGGAAAGGCTCCATGAAAACGCCTCCCCTCGCCTCGAGGAAAACCACAGGCATGGCTGCCAAGAGGGAGCTGGGTGGGAATTCCTGCTTCACCCTCCCAGCTGCATGGCCCTGGAGCAGGTACTCCTGGCACTTCAGTTTCCTCAGCTCGCCGAGGGCACTGCTCTCCTGCTGGTGAGGCTGTCTGAGGGAGTGCGCCAGGAGAGGAGGCTGGTGAGCAGGCCATCCAGCAAAATGCTGGGTCCCAGCCCACCCTCACGTATGCGGCTGGGTCATGTGACATGTGAACTGTACCATCACGAAGAGCAAACTAGGTTCCCTCGCAGCCTCCCCGGGCAGTCCCCAGCTCAGTTCCGTAATAGACCGCCTGGCGGAACACGGTCAGCTGGTTGCAAGAACTACCGACAGGTTTCCCAGTGAGCGTGGTGGTAGTGATGGTGGTCGTGGTGGTGGTAGGGTGATGGTGATGATCGTGATGGTGGAGGGATAGTAGTGGTTGTGGTGGTGATGGGGTTAGTAGTGATAGTGGTGGTGGTGGTGGTGGTGGTGATAGTGGAGGTAGTGGTAGTGATAGTGGTGGTGGTGGTGATGAGGGTGGTCATGGTGGTCGTGATGATGGTGGTGGAGGTCGTGACAGTGGTGATGGTGGTCCTGGTGGTAGTGGCAGTGCTAGTGATTGCGGTGGTGTTGGTTGCCAGCACGATTCCAACAGTAAAACTACTCCACAGGGTCTTCAAGGCCGTGGCCTTCTGGAAGCCAACCACTCAGCCTTGTTTCCAAGCTATCTTGCTAGATGTGTTGGACCCACCACGCTTTGCGCTCACAGTCCAGCAAGTGGCTCCTTGCACCCCTTCATGGGCAGAGAGAATGGGTGTCTGACACTAGTGCCTGGTGCCATCAGTCACACGCTGACTTTGCCCTTTGCTGCTCAGGAAATGGGCTGGGCACTCCCTGTCGTCTGACTTCCGGCCTGTGTGTCTAGTGTCCACATCGCCTGCTGACCCTCTGCAGGGGCAGTCTTCCTCCTGGAGATAGGTCCGTGAAGGGAAAAGTAGCATCCCCGTGGCCAGCGTGGAGAGATGGCGCCTGTGGCGCAAGGGGCCCTGGGAAGGAGCCTCATTCTCGGGCACAGCTTCTTAATTGGGAGCCCTGATTACCCAGCCCCCGATCTTGTCACAGTCTCCACCACGGGAGCGTGCAGGCCAGAGGCAGCAAAGACTTGGACGTGATTAGCTTTCTACTTGGCTGCGATTGAAACTAGCTGCAGATGTTGCCGGGTTGGGAAATCATGAGCCTTCGGTCAATGTCCCCTCCCTTTGTCGTTCCCAGGCGGGGGCGGAGATCTCCACGGTGAACCCGGAGCAGTATTCCAAGCGCTTTTTGGACTTTATTGGCCACATCTTGACGTAACCTCCCAGGCTGCCTTGGACCGACGTGCACCATGGGAAGGACAGAGGTGGCTTCAGTACAGGAAAAATGGAAACCGAGCTCCGCGAAGCACTCACCTTGCAGGAAGCAAACCTCCTTGTTTACATCTTCAGGCCAAGATGATGGATTCGGGGGCTACTCGCTTTAACAGCTACCTGATACGTCCCAGCATAGTTCTTCTTCTAGCTATTTCTGATCTGTGTGTGTGTGCGTGTGCGTGTGTGTGCATTTCAAAACAAGAAAAAAACACAAAACAGAAAGAAGAAAATCAAAACAGGTCAGCTCCAGTCAGATTGTACTATGGCAACCAACTCTGATCCCATCTATGGCTGAATGAATGAATGAATGAATGAGCACATGAGATGGGGGAGGGCATGCATGTCAGACCAACCGTGCTGGCATCCCACAATAAACTGTAGATCAGTTTATTTTCTTTTTTTTTGCTGAGTTGAAAGATGTGAGACAGTATTCATAATAATAACGAAAATAATGATAATAATAATGATTTTAAAAACAAACAAACAAACCTAACCGCGAATGTTACACTCGTTCCCCGCACGCTGACACTCCGTACTAGTTGTAACACAAGCCCCTTGGCACCAAATGAGGGGTGCTGGCCTCCCCTGGGTGCACTGCCCCGGGGCTCCGCCTCCACACAGCACGCCAGGACCCCAGCTGCCCGCAAGCAGCTGATGCCCCTGTGACCCTGTCTGTACCTGTTCACCTCGGGAACGTGTGTCCAGGAAAACCGCTTCCCTCTCTCCTTCCCAGGAGCTTCTTCCTTGTCGAAAGTCTTATGTTGCAATTTAGCGATTCATGCTACAAAAGACAAATAAAACTGACCTGGAAAGTGCATAGTTTTGGGCAATTGTATCTACCGCTCCCACCACGGGGCGGTGAGTCAGCGGTAGTGCCCCCGTCACTGAGCACCAACCCGAACCGCCGGCATTTTATGTTTTTAGCCATTGTGTCGACGACGACAATGGCATTCTATTCTGAATTGCCCCTTTCAAAGGAAACCCTCAAACGTACTGTTTACATTATTAGGAAAACAGGGATATTTTTGAATCTAAAATTTTAATGTATAGCACGCGATTTTTTGACGTTTACATGTAAAGTCATTTTGCCGTGGAGGTGAAATAATCTTTGTTTGTCGTTTCTCGAGATGTCTCATGCAACCCCGTTCCCGAATGAATGTCTTGTTCAGAGGACGTGGTAGACTATCTCACAGTGGAGGGGGAAGGGGGGGCTGTTCCCTCCAGATTGACATTTATCAACCTAATGATGTTTTTAAAACATATATTTAACCCCAATCCAGTTATGTAAATGCATTGCCCTAAACTGTGCTGATTGTGTCCGATCAAGTTTCAATCTTAAGTTTCAATCATGTACTTACCGTCTTCCTTGCGTTTCCTGGAAGGTATCAAGCTGGACTATTAGACTTGCTTAGGGTTAGGTCATCAAATTTATACACTGTGCTGCAGCTGTGCCTTTGAAATTCTTTGTTTAAAACATGAGATGATTTCTGTAGGCAGTTTCAGAAAGAGATAAGGGAAAAGAAAAAAAAAACTATAATTATAACTCAACAAATCCCACCTGCCATAATGCCTCTTCCAGTAACTTAACTCTAATGCTATTAAGACCGCAATTACGCGCCAGGTATGTGGGTTTGCTTCAGAAAGGATGAGCAGGGTAGCCTTTGGAAACCACCGTACTGGATTGTTGTAGGTCTGTTACCCTCAGCAAAATGACGTTACCACCACCACAACCCGAGAGGGCTTCAAAGAATCTAAGGAGAGATTCCATGATGTTTCCATTCCATTTTTTTCCCACCAAGTTTTGGAAGCCTCCTTGCCGAGTTGTGTAATCCCAGTATTGTGTCTTTAATGGGTCCATACTGTGATGTGATCGCCCACAATGAACTCGGGCATCCGGCCAGCTGTGGTGTTCCAAAGTTATCCTGTGGTTCCTTTGACCCACGCCTAGAAAGAGACCCTGAAGTAAAGAATAAAGTACCTGAATTTTTTTTTTTTCCCTCTGTGGCCACTCTGTATGCTTTTAGGGATTTACAAAAAAAAGGGGGGGGAAAGCTTTATTTTTGTCTGTAACCGTCTCTGTCATCCACTTCTGTTGATAACCCGCTTATTTGGACAGTGAGGAAGTTTGCATTGTATCTCCCAGTGCTAAATATACACTCCAGACATGAGCAGGGCTGTATACAATAAAGCACTTTGGTGACTCACACAGGAAGCCCTTGGTCTCCTCTATTTCAACCGCGTGTCTCTGTGTCGAACCAATGTTAAGGGCCCCAGAGGGGGAGTGTCTTCAAGCTGAGCCTTGAAGGGTGAAAGTGAAATTGAAGGTCTTCATCATCTTCATTAATAGCATTGCAGTCTGTGTGTCACGACGTGGTTTGTCAGCAAATAATAGAAGCCTCCGTGGCAGATGGTACGTACTGAAAGACGGCCACGCAGAGGGGGAACAATCTCTTCCGTGAAAACCCAATGCAGTTCCAAGGCGACCTCTTTGGATCGCACTTTGCAGACAACGCGACATGTTCGTACATGTCGTGCATTGAAGGTTGTAACAACCTTGTGTCGAGAGAGGCTTATTGGTGTCATTTTCCCACACGTGCTCACTCTGCCTCTGGCCACATTTTGATCATGCAAACGTTTCCATAAAGCATGTTTAATGGACTACACACTGACCAACCCAAAGCCACCAGCATACTGGCCGGAGTAGACCTTCCCTTTGGGTTTCCGAGATTATCAAACTTTAGAGGACCCAATACTTAGCCCGCTCACCACTGACTGGCTCACGCCCTACGATCGAGCCATTTCTGACTCAGCAATCCTAAAGGCAGGGGAGAACTGCCCCAGTGGGTTTCCAAGGAGTAGAAAGCCTCTTCCTCCTCAGAGCAGCCTGTGGTTTCGAACTGTTGACCTCGTTGGCAGGACAAAGTGTAACCCACCATGGTAGGCACTGCACCACTAGGGCTCCTTAATGTTTATATTAGGTTCCTTTTCATTGTTGTTTATGTCATTGATGATAGCTTTGGGTGCTGCGCTCCAGTCCCATCTTTCCCCACAACCCAATGGTTTATTGCACGATTATGGATAAGGTATAAAGAGTTTGAGACTTGGGGAGACATATGTCACATTACAGCAGAGGTTTCGGTAGTGAGCCAGTCAAACCAAACTCACTGTGTTAGGCAGGGTTCTGCAGAGAAACAAAACCAGGACACTTATGATTATGTATGTAAAAGGATAGGTTGATACAACAAGAAGGAATATAACAGCTAAGTAGCCCACACAGCAGTACAGAGGACTCGGTTCAACTCACTTCCGTGGAACAGTTAATATACTGAAGGTTCTTCAACACTCGAGGGCTTCTGGTCCAAGGTCAAGGAAACAGACAGCAGAGTCTTCCCTCAGGCCAGACAGGCAGAGTCTGCCCACAGGCAGCAGATAGCAGGGTGGGTCGGCAACAGGGGATCTCAAACTCAAGCAACACACAGCAACAGAATCCACCCGCCTCAAGCTCAAACAATGTGTGTGGCAAAGCAGGTCTCAAAGGAGCCTCAAGCTGTAGCGACAGGATCCATGAGTTGGCATAGCCCACAGGTAGTACAGCACAAGGTTGAGGCAAAGAACTAGCTCGAGAAGCAACATGCTGGTCCGCGCACCAGGGAGAAAGAGAAATTGCTCTTTGGAAAGCCATTTATCTCATTTCCCTCCAATCAAGCTGGGACCTAACTAAACTCCGTTGGCCTACTTGGCACAATAACCTAACTATCACACTATCATCAAGTGAATTCCAACTCACAACAAACCCTGCAGGGCAGGATAGAGCTGGCCTTGTCGGTTTCCAGCACTGTAACTCTTAAGGGAGTAGAAAATGTCATCCTTCTCATCCACTGCAGTCAGCAGGGAGATGTATTCCAATTTTCTTGTAGAAGATTATAATGTGAATGTTTCCCTCTTATTTTAGTGATATAATTTCCTGAATTAAAGGTCACAGTGGTCCCCACGATCTAATATTGTTTTCTAATTTATAACCATACAAAACTTGGTTTGAAGCATTAATTCTTAATGCATGTTTAGAAACAGTGGTTAAGAGTTAAATACAAGAGATTAGAAGTTGTATGTACTGTACCAATGTATATAACAAAAAGAACCCAAGGCCACCTTTCGTAATTGTGATAGTGCTGCAAACATGGGTATACTTATGTCAATTCATGGCACAGTTCTTATTTCTGTAGGAAATAAATTTAACTTACTGAGATTGCTAGATTACACGATATTTCTATTTCCAACCCCTTTTTTTATCAATTGGGTGAAGACGGTTTACAGAGGAAATCCGTGTTCTACTCAACAATTCATACACATCTTGTTTCTCATTGACTGCAGTCCCCACAATGAAACATCACTTATCCCACTTCCTCCCTCCGTTCCGTTTCCATTTTTCCTTCTCTCCTAACCCTTCTGAACTTTGTCCCCTTTAGTTCAAATGGTTGCTTATTCTAAGGTATGCATACTCCATGAGTGTAATTGTTCACCAGTGTAGACCTCTGGTTTGGCTGAAAATTGAGCCACAATAGTGAGTTGAGTTCCAGACCCCAAGGGTGATTAAAGGCCATAATATTGGGGTCCTCCAGTCTCCATCTGACCAGCAAGCCTCGTCTTTTTTATAATACTGAGTTTGCTCCACATTTTTCTCCCACTTGATTCAAAACCTTCTCCTGTGATTCTTTTGAGAGCCGCTGGTCGTAGTCAGGCACCATCTAGTTCTTCTGATCCCAAGGTTGTGGAGACAGGTGTTTGTGTTCGTTAGTCCACTGAATTAATAGTTTCCATCTTTCACTTCTCACCACTCTACTTTCCTCCAGCCAGGGAGACACCTTGGACAGCTGTTCATGAGCTTTTAAGACCCAGTTGCTACTCACCAAACCAGAAGAATGCCATTATCTTTTCAGTCCATTCTCCCAGAAACTTTCTGAAGCCCCCTTGCCTTCTATCAAACACAACAGAAAATGTAATCAACAGAAGATAAAGTAGGTGATGCCCTTCCTTCCTCCCTCCCATATGGAATGAAAAGATAATGGCATTCTTTTTTCAAAAACTTTGAAGGTCCCTCCTAATGTGTGTGCCATGTAGTAGGGCCCCTAAATGTGCTTGGGTCTTTCCCTTGATGGTCTGTGTAGTTTTCGGTTTTAAATTACAGCCTTTGATCCATCTTACGTTCTTTTTTCTATATGGTGTGAGGCATGCATCCTGCCTCAGTGTAGATGGATATCCACTTTTCCCAGTACCATTTTTTCCTAAAATTTCTTAAACCAAGAGGAAAGCGAATTTTGGGAATAATGAGGGCAACAAATGTATAGATATGCTTTACACAATTGATCTATGTATTGTGATGAATTGTATAAGCCCCAATAAAGTGATTTTTTAAAATTTCTTAAACCTTAATTATCACAAAATCAACAATAACTGTATTGCTATGTATGCAGATGTCTCTTCCTCTTCCCATCCTCTTGAATAGCGTTTTACTCTGCTTTGTTCATAGGACACAGATATTGCTATATTTAAATTATGTCCCCTAAAAGACAGAGACTCTGCTATGCCTTTGAATGCTTAGGCACAAAAGGCACCCGCATGGGTTTATTCGGCCACAGCTCATTATAATAAACTGGTATCTATCACCGCTTCTGCATATTAAAGAAGTGCTCACAGAGAAGTCACCCAGAAGACGGATGAAGCATCTCTGGAAAAGTGGAGTAAGTTACTGAAAGCGGTGATTAAAAGGAAACTGAGGAGTATTAAAAACCCAAACCAGACTCATAGCAACTGGACTGCACCGAGTAGAACTGTTCCCTCGAGCTTCCTCCAAGGCTGAGCATCTTCATGAGAGCAGCTTCATCTTTCTCCCCAGGGGGAGCGGTGGGTTCCCAGTGCTGACCTTTCACTGAGCAGCTCAACCACTTGTGACCCTCGAGGCCACCAGAGCTCCTCTGAAGAGTCTACCGGGCACCGTTTTTCTCAGATGGGGCCAATCTTGATTTTGCAAATCTGTGAAACTCCTGCCACAGGGTAATAAACCGGTATGTCATTCGGTGTTAATTTCTTTTTCTTCTCACTCTCTACCGCTTGTGTTTCATTCCACAAGGGACAAAAGACGAGACCGTCTCAAACACCACCTCCATAGATCTTCTGTCTTCGATAGCATCCCAGGTTTGTGCCTGGAAAAATGTTTCCAGCGCAGCAAACACATGCCCCCGTTACCAATCAGGAAACCTTGGCACCCGAAGGCGCAGTGACTTTGTTTTCTGTCGTAGGCGAGGACAACCCAGGGAAACCCAGGGTGGAAGCCAAGCTGTCTCCTCGGAGCCAAGTGCCATGGACGGTGGAGCCGGTGCCCTCCATGAACTCCAAGCTCCACCATCACCCTTCGTGGGCCAGACTCCTGGTCCTCCAGGGCCCGTGGAGATTCCTGGTGCACATGCAGACCTCTGGGAATCATCATCCACAGCGGTCTCCCACCGAGTGGACTGTTGAGAGTTCACCTGTGTCCGTCCACTCTCCTGCTCTTTGGCTCGGGAGTCCCTGTGGGAACAAGCAGTCCATGCATTGGGCTGCTGACTGGCAGGTCGGTGTTTCAAGTCCACCCAGAGGTGGCTCAGAAGAATGACCTAGCAAAGGACTGGTACGAGAGCAAACCCTGGGCGACACAGTTCTCCGCGGACACCCTAGGCTCTCCGTGTGTCAGGGTTGACCCCAGGGAGACGAGTGGGTTATTTCAGTCCAAACACATTTCTACGAACATTTGGTTTTTAAGTCCACACGTCTGACTGGAGAGGATGAAGATTCCCGGACCTACTGGAAGTCTTTCTCAGTAGAACTTAGAAATCTGCTTCCCGGTGCTTCTGATGAAATGCTAGGTTGGGAATTTACTGTCTTAAGGAGTTAACTTCCCCCATCGATGGCTAATTTAAAATACTGTTTATAATACACTTCTCCCTCATTGCCTCCTGTAATCTCTCCAGATATATGAGTGAGGTCTTTCTTATTCAGCCAAGTAGGGGTTACTACATATGATTTTATAAATATGATTTTATAAATAAAGCTTTATTGAGGCACATCCATGTGCATTCATTTAGAGACAGTTTATGGCTGTTTTCTCATCACAGTAGTAGAATTAATCGTTATGAAAGATACCTTGTGGCCCACAAACCTAAACTATTTT